GGAGTGCGGCGCCCCGGACGGCCGGGTCGGACGCGCTGCGGAGTCCCAGGCCGCCTCCCGCTCCTGGACGCCGCGTTCCGAGAGCGTCCTCTCCCCGCGCGCAGCCCAGGTGCCCGCTCACACACACGGTTTCGGAGCGCCGGGTCAGGGTTCTCCGGGCAAAGCGGGTCCCCTACCTGTCACTTGGCCAGGCTGTGCCAGGGTAAGGGATCTGTAACGGGTATTTGTCACCTTCCTGCCCAGGGTGTGAGGAATTTTCCCACTTTCTCTGCTGCCCGCCTCCTCGGTGCCCTCGAGCTCAGAGTCGGAGCCTGTGAGGCCGGCCCGTCAGAGGCGCACGCCTGGTCTGCCTGGGAGCCGAGTCCGGAGGCGGGGGCGAGGGCGTGCACCGCGTGGGAGCCCACCCCGGGCAGGCCCGTGGACCCGGGAGAGCCCGCAGCGCCCGCAGGGCCGTGTGTGCCGACGGGAGAGCCCTGGCTCGAGCAGATTCCGACTGTAGCCCCGGCTGCTTTCCTCCCCTTTTCCATGCCTGTCTCAAGCCTAGTTGTCTGATATTTCCACCGACCCAGTGAGCTGCCCCATTTCCTTCAGCAAAAGCCCTTCTGTACTTGAATCCACACAGACGGGCTTTGTTTCTTGCAGTGAAGGACTCTGGCTGGCACAGGATAAAAGACAACTAAGACATCGATGCCAGGGGTTGAGCAGGCAGCTGACCTCCGTACACCCGGTGTGGTGGAGCAGACAGCCTGTGAGTGCCCAGGACGCTCAGCCAGGGACGGCCAGGGTCCTGCCCCGGAGCACAGCCTCCTGGCGACAGGTGAGGGAGCTGTCACTGCTCCTTCTCTGCGGCACTGGAGACCTGCAGCCTGGTGAGGTGCGTGCTGTTGCCCTGTTCCCACTGCTGTAACCCGTCACACCCCCAGGGTCAGCTGTGAAGGGCGCAGAGCCGCTCCTCACAGTCTGGGTCCCAGGAATCCCAAGGGCAGGGCACCAGCAGGTTCTGCGTCGGGTGAGGGCTGCCTCTCTGGTCCCGAGACGGCACCTTCTTCCGATGTCCTCACCTGGTGGCACAGGAGCAGGCCAGGGGGCAGCCCGAGGCCCTCAGGCAAGGGCCAGGCCCTCGGACTCACTTTCCTGGAAGCCCAGCCTCCTAACCCTGTCACCCTGGAGGTTAAGTCTGAGCATGCGTTGAAACACAGACACTCAAACCCCAGCAGGGCTCTGCTGAGCCAGGCCTTGAAAGGGAGGGATTCCCCGGGAGAGCAAAGGTGGGAGAGGTCCTCAGGCACACACGGTGTTACTGAAGCCACTTGTTCCTGGGGAAGAACAAGGCCATTGTCCTGGGTTGGGGGACTGGAAGAGAGGGAGGATGGCAGAGGAGAGAGAGACAGGAGCAGGCCCAGCTGCCCAGAACGGTGGATGTGTGGGCCAGGGCTGAGGTAGAGAGAGAGGAGCAAAGGCCGGGAGAGGCTGAGAGCGAGCGTGGTGGCCTGGGGACCTGCCCGAGCGTCAGGCCGCCTCCTGAAGACCTCCTACTCCTGCAGGCCTGCTGTGCACAAGGGCGTGGGGCCAGAATTAGGGTTTTGTTAGGGAAACGAAAGTAGCCTCTGATGTGCAGATCGGTGTCTGGCCGGGTGTGTGCAGGGAGAAAGAGGCACACAGTCCAGAGCTGCCTCCCTGCTCCTGATGGGAGGAGAAAGGTCTTCAGAGGGATCTGCCGCATGGGCCTCACAGTCCATTCATGCCCTAACACAAGGGCCATCCTAAGCTTTGATTATAATGGAAAACTGTGACTGTAACAGGTCGCTTTAGAAACAAACCGCCCCCCTTTCTAAATCCACACATGGAAGTCCTAACTCCCCAGTACCTCGAACTTGGAGACAAGGTCTTCACAGAGGTAACTGAGGGCATTAGGATGGGCATGGCCTGACTCTCCAGATATGCGTTGAAGAAGCGCAGGCTTGGACACAGATGGTGCAGAGGGGAGAACCTGAGGAGGCAGGGAGAAAGCAGTCACTGAAGCCCAGGAGAGAGGCCCGGCGCTCCTGCCCTTCAGGGAGCCAAGCGGAGCCCAGGCCTGGGAAGAGTTTCTGCTGTGTGAGCCCCTGGCGGCAGCCCCAGCCCACAGCAGGCTCACAAGCCTTCCTTAGAAGGAGCAGGCCGAGCGCAGCCGCGGGAAGCTGTCTCACCTGTGAGAAGAGGTGTGTTTTATGACATCACCGGAGTCACTTGGATCAGGTTTTAAAGTAAATCATTCGGTTCTGTAATGGGATAAAGAAAGCAGGAAAGGTCTGCATCTGTGTGGAAGCAATGCCCACGGAGCTATCTCCACGCCGGAGAAGCCGAGGCTGGGCGTGTCTGAGCAGCGGCTGCCTCCTGTTGCTGAGCCTAGCAAGGAGGCGGCGGGCCGTTATCGGCAGCGCAATGCTCGGTGCAGACAGTGGGGCTGACTGCACCAGGACTGAGCAGGCAGGCGCCTTCGCCAATAGTGCATCGTCTCTCCTCAGGGCTTTGAGTCTCCCAGCGGCCGTGAGTCATTGGTGGAACAGTTGGTGGAATCACTGGTGTGAAACAGAGGCTCATGGCGAGGTTCTTAGAGGTGTGGCGCACGTCCCGGGGAAGCCAGGTGCAGCTGCTGCTGTTTCCCAAGGCATCGGAGGCTGCCGGCTGACGGGAGGGAGGAGGCCCGGCGCCGGCTCCCAGATTCTGGAAGCTCGGGGGGCCGAGGCCTTGGGAGGCGTGGATTCTGGGCGTTTAAGGAGAACAGAAATTCAGAGCAATCCAGCCACAAGTCTGCATCATTTGAAGATTGGAATGTGTTGTTAATAAGTTTGAAGGAAATGCAAACTTTAGTCAGCTTGTCGTGTTTGCAGTTCTGGTTTTCGGGCTTTTTAGTGCCATGTGTTTCAGCTTGTAGAAGTTTAAAATCGAGGAGTTTAATGGAAGGGTTCCTTTTTACTGAAGTTAATGTCTTGTTTCTCCGTAGTCCTGGCAGCTCCTGCTCATTTCTGCAGCTGGCTTCCAGCAGCTTCGAAGGGCAGCATTGTGTGTGGACGAGCGAGGCAAGCGCGGTGCCCTCCTGGAAAGGCCTCGCCTGGTGAGGGACCCTCACCCACGGGAGCAGGGCCGCCGGCGGCCGTGTGACAGAGCCGCTGGGCCGGCACCGGGAGTGGGAGCTTTGTACTTTTCAGAGGTGTGGCTTGGCCCTCAGTCCAACGCTGAATACCTGGGAAGCAGGAGAGGAGGATGGAGGGAAAGCGGGGAGAAGAAAGGAGAGAGAGAAACAAACGTGGAAGTGAAGTGGTGAAGAGAAAAGGGGAGAGGGAGGCGCCCGGGGCAGAGCCAGCCCCTGCCATTAGAGCAGCAAGAGGCAGCGGCACACACCTTGCACCTTCGAGCTGCATCACATCTCCCACCCAGGACACAAGATCAGAACCCCGGCAGCAGGAAGCAAACCTCACACCACAAGCCCCCTGCTGCACTTGGAGACCCAGCTGTCTTGCCAGTGAAGCCCGGCAGAGTGGGGCTGTGTGCAGCGTCCACACCGACCAAGACTGCACGGCCAGCCGGGGTGGCAGAGACACGGGGTGGCCGCTGGTCTGTGGCAGGGGCCAGAGGCTGCAGGTCGTCACTTCTTTGTGTTCTGGCCCTGGGCCCAGCCCTCCTCGGGTCTCAAGGCTGCTCTGAAGCGCACTCTGAACCGCTCGCTCGTGGGGCTGAACAGCATGTGACAGCTGAGCAGAGGAGGTTTTCAGCTTCCATGCCCTCCCCGGGCTTCCTGAGTGGCTGTGGAGCCTTGGACCCATCTGGGGCTGCTCAGCAGAGCTTGCACTCTGCTCTGGTGCCATCTCCAGCTCCTCCCGCGCCCTCCCTTCCCAGCTCCAGCCTCCAAATGTTCCCCAGCTCTGGGTTTTCCTGCACCCCGCCCCGGTGACGGCTCAAGGGAATGTTAAGCTTTTGGACTCTGGCATGGTTTAGAGGGTTTTTGCCCTTGGTGCTTTTCTGAAAACAGCAACGGGTAAGAATTTTGTGGAGAAAACACAGTATTATTTCATCTCACAGCAAGGGGGAATGTGCAAACACACCTGTGTTTTTCTGATCTTCCCAGCCCTGAGGCGTCCCAGAGCCCAGAGGTTTGAGGACCCTTGGGAAAACAAAGGAGCTTGGGGATGCAGAAGTTAATGGCTCCTGGGGAGTGTGTCCTGCCACCTGCTCTCTCGGGCCACAGGAATTTCAACACCAAACCCCCGGGTGGCAGCAGGCACCAGCAACCGCAAGTGAAAGTGAGCTGTGATTTTTCTGTCCTTTCACTGAAAACGTTTCTCCAACCGCCCTTCCCCTTTCAGGAATCGCCAGAGTTTCCTCCCTTCCCTGTGGTGAACACCTCAAGGAAAGGCGCCTCCTTTCCTGGAATGCAGGCTGGACAGCAGCTGTCTCTCCCCCAGGAGACTTGGAGAGTGGCTTCTAAGCAGACTGCCCGTGGGAGCATCTCGAATCCCATGGACAGGAAGCTGAGGTCATCAATTGCTTTCTCCTTGCTGTCTAGGGTCAGTGCGTTTCATACTTCCTGTCATCTCCTCTGACATCATGCACCACCCTGCTAACCCATTTCCTCACACAGATTTCTAGCCAGCGGTGAAAAGATACTATTGATATTTCTGTGTTTAAGAAAAGATGCTAATGGGAAAGGGCTGAGGAACCACTGCGGATTGACCCCCCGAGAGGTCAAGTAAAATAGGGCAGCAACTCAGGAAATGGGATCAGAATGGTCCTTTGGGAAGAGGAAGTTAAACGAATGGCCGGCAGCCTGTTAATGTTTTCCTCTGCAGCCGCAGATAGCTAACGTGGGTGCGCGGGCGGGGCGCCGGGCGAGAACGGAGGGCCGTGTCTATCGGCACTCAGCTCCAGGGTGTGGGGCAGTGTAACCCCAGCTTCAGGTCAGGGCTAATGCCGAACTTTGAAAGCTGCCACAAGAAGCACACCATGCCTTGAGGGCAGTAAGTGGATGTTCTCACCGCACGGAGAGCAGTTATCGCCGTAAGTAGGCTGTGGCTGCGGCGCACTGGGCTGATGCGGGCCTGGATGGGCGCGAGGAAGGAGCAAGATAACCAGGCGGTAGCAGGCCTTGAAGAGGCGGCCCCTGCCTAGCTTCAGCCGCTGACTTTACCTTTGCAGCACTCATCACGCGGCTGTGTCGCTGAGGAACCTGCGCTCGGGCCGCCTCTGTCTCTCAGCCGAGCTGATGACCCGGCCAGCCTGTGTCCTAGAGAGACTGCATCTGCTTCCCGCTTCCCAGAAACCAGTCTCCTTCTGCCCCAGAGAGAGGCTGTGTGCACCGAGCAGTTCTGTACCCAGATACCCCCCAAAGACAGCATACGACAAGCGCTGCCACGGGGCACGGTGACACGCGGAGGACAGCCAGGCAGCCTTCCAAAGAGGACTGTGACTGCAGGCGTGTGCTCGAGTTTGTGTTTGCTCCTCGGATACTGAGCCCCCTCCACGCTCCGCAATTGCACAGCTCCTGTTGGTGCCAGAGACCACGCGAGACCCTGCTCCGCTGGACGCTGGTTTAACAGCTGCTGCCTGTGCCTCACATCCTGCTCCCGCTGCCGCAGGCGGCCTCCGCGATGTGTTCCTCACGCCGTTTCTGTGAGCCTGGGAGTGGAACTTCAGCTGAAGGAGGCAGGCCAGGCCTGGCGGCACTCACCGGTAATCACAGCATTCCGGGAGGCTGCGGCAGGAGGATGGCAGGTTTAAGCCAGCCTGGGCCACTTAGCAGCGTAATGAGACCCTGTTTCAAAAATTTAATTAAGAACTTGGGATGTGGCTTGGTGTGGAGCCCTCGGGTGCAAGCCCCGGTACTGCACCAACAAAATGAAACAAAATAAAACAAGCAAGTGAACAAGATGAAAGAAAGCAAGAAAGGGGCCCGGATAGAGCTCAGTGGCACAAGCGCCTGCCTGGCAAGCTCAAGGTCCTGAGTTCGATTCCTGGAACAAAAAAAAGGCAAGAAAAAGAAAGAGGCTAGCAATTACTTTTCTTAGTTAACAGAAAGAAGGGCATCAGAAACTACTCCTTTGTGGGGGCTGGGGATTTAGCTCAGCAGCAAAGCGCCTGCCTGGCAAGCGCAAGGTTGTGAGTTCGGTTCCTGGTACCGGAGAAAAACCAAAAAAAAAAAGAAACTACTCCTTTGTGACTTTTCTACACCGCAGTGAGGACGGGCCCTGCCTCCTCTGGCGGTCTCTTCATCCCTGCTGAAGGAGCCAGCTCTGGTCCCATTGGCCTGGTGCGGATGGGATGCCAGCACTTCTGCCCTGCACCCCTGGAGACTGAGACGTCTCCGCGCCCGCACACTGTCACTGGAGACACAGCCCTGTGTGTGTCAGGCTGCAGGGGGTCTCCAAGTCCCGCATGAGGCTGTAGAAATGTCTCCCTCTGCACAGGCAGGATAGGTGACTCTCACAGTTCAGGATTCCGGGCTCCTGGCCTGGGGGCTGGCGACAGAGCTGTCCCTGAGGCAGCACCCACAGCTCTGCTCCCTAAAGCTGTCAAGCTCCGGAGTCGGCCAGCCCAGCACTGTCTCCGCCATCCCTGTCTAGCCAGTCACACAGCGCCGGCAGGTCTCCTAAGTGTCTCTTGGATCTGCCCCAGAGCTCACTTCCTTTCTGAGGTATAGATGGTCCACCCAAAATGTCGTTGTCCTTGCACCCTGTGAGACAGAAGCTGAGGGCAGAGGCACTTGTCCCCACCACACTCTGCCTCCTCCCCCACGCTGTCCGCCACCACCAGCAACACCACACAGGGCCTAGCGATGCCCTCCCACCCCGGGGTCCGGGGTGGATGCTGGCTCTGCACACTTTGCGGCTGTCAGGGCTGAGTTGTTCAGGCCGCAGCTGGGGGCTGCTGAGGGTCTGGAGCTCTGCTGGCTCATCTGCAGATTGGTTGAACGAGATGACACTGGGCCTGGTTGGAGCCTAAGAGTGAAAACTGGCGGGACACTTTTTTGGCTGACAAAGATAGGAAATTGTTTTTTGTTTTTGTTTTTTGGGACAGTGTCTCCCTACGTTGTCCGGGCCAGCCTGGGACTCAGGATCCTCCTGCCTCATCCTCGTAAATGCTGGAATTACAGGTGTGTGCCACCACGTCTGGCTCCAAATATTGTATTTTTAATTTTGTGTGTATGTAGGGGAAAAAGATGAGGAGGACTTTAATGAGGATACTGGTTCCCTGCAAGATGGCTTGCTGCCCAAATTAAGCAAAGGGCCTATTTCAGACTGGGTGCAAGTTAATGGTTTTTACATTTGTCAAGGGCTGTAAAGAAAAAACACGACTAATGTGCAGCAGAGACAGCATGTGGCCTGTAAAGCCTGACATATCTGCAGTCTGCCTCTTTCAAAGAAAAAGCTGCACCCCTGCAACAGACCCTCCTCTGGGCTCCATGGGAAGAGGGCCCAGGTGAAGAAGGGAAGTTGAGGTATAGCCAGTGTGGGCGGAAAGAACAATCCTCCCACCTCTGTGAGGACCACAGTGTCACTCTGGCACAGGAAGGTTCTAGAAACCATGCCTGCTGGACTCCTGGGGCTCTTGGAGACCCTGTACTGTCCTGGACACAATGGCAGAGGACCAGCAGCCCAGTGAGAGTCAGAGTTCACTGGAAGAGAAACCATATCCGGGGACTCTGCAAAGTCATTTGCGAGTCAGGAACAGGGGTGAATTCCTTCCCATAGAAGTGGGCTGGAGGCCGGTGAGCCCCAGTTACATCTGTGTGCTACCCTGGCCAGTCCTTATCTGTAGCGTCACTCCCAGAGGACACCGGTTTAGACAGGAGGAGGTCCACTGGAGGCTCAGGTGGCTGAGACCTGGAAGAGACACAGAGCCGTGGAAGTGTCCACACAGGCCCTCAGTGTTGGCTGCGGAGCCCATGGGGTGCGTCATGGCGCTCACAGCGTCCCTGGCTGCCTCGGCTCCCGCCAGCCCTCGTGTCGTCTGCGTTTACGCTGGAGCACACAGCAGTAGCCACATGCCAGCATCGACTGGGTTATGGCTGTTATTCACACTGGGCCAGTGAAGGGTGTCTGTGCAGAAGTCCTGCCGACTTGGGTTTCATGTCCGCCCCACACAGCCTGGGCTGGAGTGCAGCCGTCTGAGGCTTCATGGCTCCTCACACCTGGGCCAGCCTCCAAAGCAGTCTCATCCTCATCTTCACTGCGTCTCAGGTGACAATCGAACGGGAATCTGGCTTCTAATCTGCAGGCCCCTTCTTCCCAGCCTCCACTCTCAGTGCTTCCCCAGGGTCTTAGTTACTTCTCTCATTGCTGAGGTAAGATACCCAACACCCAAAGTTAAAGGAGAAAAGGTTTATTTAGCTCACAGTTTGTAGAGGTCTCAGTTCATCTTCAGTTGGCTCCAAGGTGGGGCGGCATGGCAGAGGGTCATCGCAGAGGGAAAACACTACATGGTGTGGCAGGGCAGGCAGAAGGCAGCATGCAGCAAGCCGTCTTTGCCTGTTATGCCTTCCTGCTACTGCCTTTTGGGTGATACCCAAAATGGGCCTTCCCATTATCCACACCCAGAACTGTGCTAAAACATCCTGTGGACTAATTTAGTGCCACATAACCTTAATCCCAGCATCACACACCCATGAGCCAACCAGTTCCCACAAGCCCCACTTATGAGCTTGAGAGTTCAGAGGAAATCTAGATCCCAGCCATAACACCCCGCCTCTGTCCTTGCTTCACTTTCTCACTGGTTGGGACAGAAACTTTCTCTTCAATGGTCTCCCAACGCCCATTAGCCAGAGCTGTGAGCTGTGATCAGGCAGGTGAAGTGGCCAAAAATACCACGGAAGAAACCTTAGGACGTTCTCCTAGGGAGAGGAGAGAAAGAAATCTTGAGCTGAAATCACTGTCCTCTGCCTTGTGGATGACACCCTGGGTGTCCTCTGGCCTGGAGATGCCTACAGTCACCTTAGTCCCCAGTGGCTCTGAGGCTGACATTTGCATTTAGTTCCCTGGTCTCCTTTGTTCACAGGTAGAGGCCTCCTGCCCACTAGTAGCACAGAAAGAAAGAAAGGTCCTGGAGAGGCAGCCCTGGAAGTAAAGTGCTGGGCACATACCTCAACCTCATCCACTGCAGGGAGCAGAAAGAAGGTTGTCTTCTTGTGGAGATGACCTAGAGCTTTGATTCTGCGCCTGGAAATCACTCTTTCGTATCACCTAGCCCAGAGGGGGCTGGGAAACTGATCTTTAGCTGCACACCCATGTGCCAGGGAGGCTTGGATTCTGTATGATTTACTAAATGAAGAAGGGGAGCATGGATGTTAGGGAACAGCTGATAGTCTTCCAGTCTTCACTACAGTTGAAAACTAACTCAGCATTTCCTAAGACCGGATTAGCACAAACAAACAAGCGCCTTTGTTTTAACCCTGGGTGTAATTTCCCCACATCCTGGCACAGGAGCGCAGGGTGCAGCCCAGGCCTAGAGAGACAACAAGACGGCAGATCCCAAAGGCAGGTTCTTGTGGTGCAGGCTGCATGGGTTCGTTAAACAGTTCAAGGCCAGAGCTAAGGCATCTGGGCAGAAGAGACCACTGGGCAGCCAGGTATCTTGGAGGAGTTGCTGTGGGGCCAGCACTTGTGCAAGGAGTGGTGGGAGCAGAACTGGGTAGAGATGGAAATCATGGAACTCAAGACAACAGGAAAGGGACAGCGGCCCAAGGAGTCTTTCCTGGAGGAATAGCTGATTCTCATTCTCTCTCTGTCTCTCTCTCTGTCTCTCATTAATTTGAAACAAAAATGTGGTTATCTGTGCTTTTATGACACTGTTTTTTAATTTAGCAATGTAATGCAAACATTTCCTCCATCACCCAAAATATAGATCATAATCATGTTTAATTAATGCAGATGTTCTGTTGAATAGATGTACAAGACTTAAATCCCCGTTGATGGGCATTTGAGAATCTTCCTATTTTTTGTTTTTACAAATAACTTAGGGACATTCTCATGCATACATCTTTTCACACATATGTGATTAGTACTATAAAAAAATTCCTCCAAACAAACTTGCTGGGTCAGAAATTACATTCATATTTTGAAGAATAGGGCCAACCTACCTCCCAGGAGGTGGTAGTAATTTACCTGAGTAATTTGGGGAGCAATCTAGACTGATCTTAATCTTTGCCAATCTCAGAGAGGAGAAATACCTCATTGTTTTCTTAATAACATTTATTAATTAGTAACCACGTTAATGCTATTTCAGATGTTGACAGGTTGCATTTCTTACTTTATTTTTCCTTTTGTGAATTAGCCGTCCTTAGCCCATTTTTCTCTGGTTTATAGGAGACTGTGGATTGAGTGTAAACATCTGTCAATATATAAAATACAGTATTATATCTTAACAAATCACTTGTGGCTTTTCTTGAAGCCATCTATAGTCTCTTTGATAGTCTTTGGTTAGGTATTATTCCTACCAAATCTCTACCCTAACTATATCAAGATTTTCACCGGAGTTTTCTTCTGGTACTTTTATAAATCCTCATTTTCAAGTTGATATAATTTAGTAAGTAGAGTAAAAAACAGACACCCTCTCCCTCGCCCTCTCTTGAGTTCCATCATTCCCGTCTGCACTGGATTCCTGTCCCTGAGAGAGGTAATGAGGAGCACGGTGTGTGCGTTCTGGGATGGTCACTTCGGTGCAGCTGCATCAAGCTGGCTGCCTTGGCGGCCTTGGGCAGTCCGCACGGAGCCTCAGCAGCCAGAGCTTCCGCTCGGGGGTGGGAGCCTGGCCTCCCGCAGAGGAGGCTGCCCTGGTGGCTGCATCCTGCCAGCCCCGGCATGCTGGCCTTCGGCACACACAGCAGACAGCCGCTGGCGCAGCCTCCGTGCAGGACCCCTCCTAACTGCAGCCCTTGCCCCTGCTGTCCCTGGAGATCTCTGGGGTTTC